CACTCGGTTCACCCCGCTCAACACCCACCCTAAGCACCTCACTCTCATACTGAAGACCTCAGCCCCTCTCCACCCTCCCCTCCCTTCGTGCGCGCCAAAGACTGGGCAGATTTTGCAACAATGATCTTTAATTGTTGATGAACGCTCGTGTCTTTGCCCCCGTCTCCTACAGACCTGAATAATTCATGGCCGTCTCCCAGTCTCAGCACAGCGAGCCTTGTTTGTTCTTTATAAATAATATTTTGTTCCTGACAGGTGCTTTGTCTCTGCTCCTACCATCATCTTCCTCCACCCCGTCCCTATCTTTCTTTCTCTCTCTCTCTCTCTCTCTCTCTCTCTCTCTCTCTCTCTCTCTCTCTCTTTGTGCCTGCCTGTCTGTCTGTCATTCTGTGTGTGTGTGTGTGTGTGTGTGTGTCTGTCTGTCTGTCTGTCTGTCTGTCTGTCTGTCTATCTGTCTCTCTCTCTCTCTCTCTCTCTCTCTCTCTCTCTCTCTCTCGATCTCCCTTTCTTGCTGGTGCACTGGTGCACCTGTGTACTATGCTACAATCGTCCTAACAAAGTGCTTGTCTTCTGCCAAGAGAGACAAGAACAATAAACGCGGTGTCAAACCGATGTGCAATTTTGTCTGTCTGTCTGTTTGTCTGTCTGTCTGCCCGTCTGTCTGCCTGTATGTCTGCCTGTCTGTCTGTCTGCTGAACTATCCGCTGATGAACACATGTATCTGTCTGTCTGCCGATGTGCACATTTGTCTGTCTGACAATTACCGCCTGTGACAACCGTGGGATTCATCCTTTCTTTCATTCATCCAACCATCCATCCGCCCACCCGTCTATCTAATAATAAATAGCATTTGTATAGAGCAAAATTCCCGCTCGACAGTAACCTTAATGCGCTTTGCAATCAACATTATAACTCCGGCAGACCTGATAGCTTTCTGAAACAATCTGAACTTCATGGGAACCATAATATAGTGTAAACTGCCATTTCATGGGTGCCGAAACACTGACAAACTGACAAAATCTTTCTCTGCCTATAGCCGGGTAATCATTCACACTTTGGTGAAGTGAGAGAAATTCGTGCCTTTCCTCTGGACACAACGTCCGGCCATGAGACTTGTACTGCCGAACCCACAACCTCAAGATTACGAGTCCGGTAGCCTGGCCATCCGACAACTATCTATCTATCTATCTATCTATCTATCTATCTATCTATCTATCTATCTATCTATTTATCTATCTATCTAACTATCTATCTATCTATCTATCTATCTATCTATCTATCTATCTATTGCACTGGTTTTCAATTCTTTTTCTCGTAAGTTATATAGATCTACTAAAATACATTCGAGAACTGTTGGTGATAATTGATGAGGATTATTTGAAGAATCGCAAATTCTAATATAGTTAAGAATGACGCCATCAAATCAAATCCCCTTCCTGTCGCAGTATCCAACTACAATTCCTTCTCATCATCATGCTGCTTCATAAAGTATGAGCACATATTTTTAAATTTTTTTTTTACAATTTCAGTTGTCATTTATCAGGAGATTGTTATCACATGTAAGCTAATAATTTTTACCTTTAAAAAGTTAAGTTCATTTGGTGAGCTGTGACGTAGCCTAGGCCACATAATACGTACGCAAAATGTAC